CTCCCCTCTTTAAACCAGTGATTCAAACTTTTTCAAGTGTTTAAAAGACCCTCTGTTATTGCGGGCTTGGGTTAAGTGTTAAACATAAATGTCATTCTGTCATAAATGTTAGAAAATGTGCGTGTTGTGTGTGTAACTAATCAAGTTGTGCATCAGGTTGACCCCAGCCCACCATTACAGCTCCAGCTAACTGACACCAACAATCAACGGTTATCAGAATTCACCTTCTGACCTGCAGTTAGTCCATAAGGTTTATCTTCACCTTTCTTATCATGGTTTGATATTTAAACTGGGCTTTGCGATGGTCACAATCCCAATCAGTGAGGATATCAGACCACAAAATGCCACCACTCCTGCATTTGATTGGTAAATCCCCAACCTGTCTAACGGACTGAACAGATCACAAACGTTTTTCAACGTGTCCAAGGCAACCGCCGGATGCGCTTTCAGGCTTTCAAACAGCAGAAAGAGCAAAGCATCCAGCTGAGGAATGACAACTTCTGCTACTTCAGGACTCTCACTAAGGTGCTGAGACATTCTCTGTCTGAAGTCTTTATCTTTTGCTTTCTGCATCATTAACCGGAGCACTACATAAGCGTCTCTAGTCACATTCATAATTACTGAGAGGAAGTAGCAGCGGGAGGAGGTTAGGCTCCAACTTTTCTGGTTGATATCGCTGATCAGACCGACACTTCTGGCCCAAAGTACATTGTCGCAGATAAGGGAGAGGCCGCGGTTGATGTTGGCTGCAGTGAGGCACAGGCACAGCACTCGGTCCGAGAGTTGCATGGATCGTTCAGCAGCCTTGACGCAATTTACTGCATTTCCAAGCTTCAACACTGACAGGAGGAAGAAAAAAAGGGCGTGAGGGCAGTAAAGAATCAAATATGAAATATAATTTTAATCAAACAATATCTTGCTAATTTGTGCCTCCGACAAAAAAGAGGCCATGGTCTTAATTTATTCTCTTTGCGTGCATACTATATTTGAACAGTTCTGGCTGACAGCTAGGAGTGAGATCACCGCCCTGGTAGGTGGGATTGGAGAGCTCCCCGCCTTTATAAGGACAGGTGCAGGCAATTACTGCCTCTTTGTCTGATGCCTCGTAGATGGTGACTGCTGTGTTTGTGCAGGTAACGGAGACTGGGAGAAAGAGAAGTGGTATTTTTCTGCTTGAACTCTAATGAGGTGTCTTGTCCATTCAGTTGTGTGGCTGTGTCTAGACCCAGATTTCTGTGGCCCAATGTTTGAGAGAAGATTCAGGGTTTGCCTCTCCCCTGTGTGAGCCACAGTACAGAGTCAGCCATCTGTTGCTGCTGTAGAGTAGGGCCTCATATCAACAGGGAAATATTTAATAACAACGTAAAGGGAGATCCCCTCTAATGTATTTGGTTGCAATTTGATAACTGACCTCATCTCCCCCTCGTGGCCTACATCAGTGTTGTCTGGCCACTGGTTTTGTGTTCATTTTACAATGTTGGTCTGACACTTTTTTTATATTTTATTGTGACCCTGAACCAACTGAGTCTCAATCTTTTCTTGTTTTAGGCAGCTGGACGACCTACGGGGAGTAGTCGTGGGATGCACACCACTTTGCATGCAGTGTGGTAGACCTGAAGGGTGGAGGTCACATGAACAGTGAGCTGTGGTTTTGTCCTTGCAGTGGCAGTGATAACTGTGCTCCTGTGGAGCTATCTATTGGGGTTTGGGATAGAATCGCCCTGCTGCCTACATAATGGTCCCCGCTATTTAGGTAAAAATTTGTGTATCTCTGTCGTCTCAGTAATTTTTATTTTAGCTTTTATAAAATAAAGTTTTGTTTTTACCTAGAGTCTTTTTTCCTTTCTCAGGTCCTCCATTCTATTTGTCTCATTATTAAATAAAGATTTAATTGCTAACTGAATGCATGTCTCCACTTTTCTTAAGCTGCCAAAATGTGTCATAATAATGTGTCTGAGGTCATTAGGGTCTAGTATGACTCATAGGCTGTTTTAAAGACAAATCTGTCATTCTAAACACTCTCAGGTCACACATACTTCCTAAACATTTCAGAAAGCTAGTTATTGATAACATCGATATGTAAATCTCCTTTTAAAAGCTATACATGTCCTGAACGTCTCCTTCACCCACAGGCAAGCCAGGCACAGAGGCAGGAGAGCTGCGACAGACCAGATAACCGAGTGGTGCCCCTACAGAGACTGTCCTGCTTCTCTTCGGCCCAGCCTTGGGCAAGGTCTTTATTGCCTGACCCTGATGTAAGGCAGTGCATCCATCATTTCCATGTGAAACAAATCAAGTCAGTCTCTGAAATAATTAAATTTATACAAAAACCACCACATGGCAGAGTCCTAAAGGTTTCAGAATTCCCCCCAGGTTGTAAAGTACAACTATCGATGGGCAGTCTGGGCCAGTGTTAGGGTCACGATTGTTGCTGCAGGTGCACGTGTCAGCACATGGTGGAGACGCCCCAACAGTCTATCTTAGCTCAGGTGGGGAAAAAGAAAAAAAGCTGCAGAATTTAACACAGGCACGAATGGACATTAACCTGGTCTAAGCCTGAGGTCTGGAGACATGGACAGAAAAAAATCAATATGTTTCCAACGATGGGCTCTCAACCTTAATGCAATTTGTTGTACATTTTTACAGAGAACAAACATGAGGGGAACATACTAAATATAAACATGTTGAATGCGAGGGTGAGTAACTTTATTTAAGTGTATCAGTTTCTACAGAACACTGTTATGGTGGCAGTTTCCTTTCATACAAAATTGGGGAAAGATCTAATCAGGTTGAAAGAGGGGAAAAAAACAAATGGCTTCAATTTGGTGCTGGTTAAATAGTCGTGCAGGGTTTTCTGTATTGTTTGATAGTGGAGCGGCCACCTACCCTGAAATAATGATCATCACAAATGATCAGATTATATTACATGCATTCATATTGTACAACCTTTTCTTGATTTATGACCATGTTGCTATTCAACATATCATGTTACTATACATACAAATTAAATATGTTAAAGACTGTGAATTTTAAACAAATTGTTCAATAGCACTTCGTTGTGTTTAAGGTCTGAGAGAAGTTCTATTTTTCTTTTCTTATATTCTTTTTGAATATATTAAAAGAAACTACAATGCCTTAAACAAAACTCAAGTTTTTGTATAAACAGCAATGACTCAACTATTGACAAAAAGACAAATCTTTGAACGGTTCAGAAACAACTTGAGCTGCTGCCTTGTTGGCCACTCAAGAGTTAATCCATGTTGAGATATTAATGAGTTTATGGACAAGGAGCAGTGAGATGTTTGAGAGGCCAATAGAAAAGCTGTTGAACCTGCTGTGGAGACTTTAGAACAAAATTGATTTCTATAGATGATTATGACACAGAAAGACTCGTGTTCTATTAAACTGTCTATTCAGCGAAGGAGGGCTGGAATAATGAAGAGATAATAATAAAGAGATGCAGGCTGTCTTGCACTCATTTGTACGTGTGAGCTTCAGAATATAATGAATCTGTAGAAGAATAACTAAGCTCCCCTCATGAGGACATCAGATTAATTGTTTTAGGTTGTTTATAAAGCAAAATGTTTTGCTGGATCCAGCTTCTTTTTTTTTTTTTAATGCGAGAACCTGCTGCTTTTGTTATATTTGAAATTTTAATTGGACTGTTCATCAAACACTTTGTTGTAAATGTCACTTCAGGTAGTAAAAATTTAAATGGGTATGAATCACAGTTAGGTTCACAATTCTATCAAATGTGAATAATTGTGTGCAGCTCAACAATGAGCAGTTATTCAAACAACTCCTTATGACATTTAAGATTCTGATCAATTGTGGCACAAGACTGTAAGAGATTTAGATTTGGAAGCAAAATACAATCTTTATGGAGCCTTAAAAAACCAGCATTGTTACTCTGAATTCAGTGCGTCTACTCTGCTGCAAATATCATTGGAAAAGGGACTAAGGAAGATTTGTACCAGGGACCTGCTTCATATGCTTAGTTATGTTATGTTTCTGGCATTTAATGTTAGGATGCCATACATGAGGTTATGACCCTTTATAAAGCTTCTCAATCTTAGTTATTGGGTTTTTATTTAGTTAAATTAATTTCCTCTCCTACCATGGCCAATTCTGGCTGTAACTATTTTCTTGTTATAGTGTTCTTACTTGCAGCCAAAATTATTTAAAACAAATACTTGTGCCCGGTTAATCACATTTTATATTTTCTCTAAACTGGTATAATAAAAATAAAAGATCCTCATAAAACGTTCTCCATTTGCGAGAGGTAGTTGTTAGCTGGTGTAAAAAGACTCATTTCTCTGACAACGCTAACACACTTGTTTTTAAAGTGTTGTGGAGTTTGAGCTCATGTTCAAAAATCCATTAGAGTCTGAAAAATAATTGTTTGAGTGGAATACACGTATTATGCACCATCGGTTGTTTCTTCTGTATATCCACTTTTAATTGTTTGGTTGAAAATGGTGTCTCATTTGTAAAGTCTATCTGCGAATGTCCCTATTTCCAATTTGAATTTATCTTAAACAGTTTAAGTCCTGTAGTTCCCCTTAATCATCAAGAGCCCCGCTGTAGCACTTTGTTTTAAACTACAGTCAAGTGAATTGGAGGTATCCAGATACCTTTCTTCTGCTTTTGATTGAACATTCTTGCCACATTATTATATATTTTCCAAAAGTAAATTAATCCATGGGTTGTCTTTATCTAACACGTGTACATTGTCTGGTATCATTGGAATGTTGTCACTGCTGTTCTTTATATTTTGGAATTCATATTTTGTGTAGTGTTAATCTTGTATTTTGGATAGTTTATGTGCCTGATCAAGTACATCTATCCATCCATCCATCTTATGTGTCTTCACAGTTAATACTCACATTTCCGTCCAGCACTGATGTTGGCTTCCACAATTTTAAGTTTTGCCACAAGCTGCTTTCTCTGGGAGTTGCTGCGGAGTAGATGTGTGGAAAGTGCACACGCGAACTGGGTTGCTCTGAAATAAAGAAGACAGACACAGATCATAGCTGTCTTCAGGTGAACATGGCGACAGGTGATGGTAAACGAAGGCGACCTCTGCTCCACTAAATCGCTCCACGTGTTCATTGATAAAACAAACTAACCCCGGAAATCTCCGTCCCAGTAACAAACACTTACGCGAACACGCGGTCTTTCCCTTGACTTATACTTGTGAATTTCACCAGAGTGTCCATTGTTAATATGAACAAGAACAAGTTGTTCCAGCTGAGCCCTCGACAGAAGAACCGACCCGGACACACGCTAACGTGACTTCTCTCCCCCGGCGGCAGTGACCGGGGTCGGTTTGAGTAGCTGCAGTGAAGGAGCTTCTTCTGGAGATGGCGGAGAACAACTCGAGCCTGAATCCAAACTTCTTCCACTTCGACATTCAGCGAAATTCACAAGTCACTTCAGCTGACACACGGGGGCGGGGCAAAAAAAAACATGTGTTTCACTACGGAGAGCTTTGCGAACGGACCGAAAGCCCGAGGAGGTTTAATGGACGGGCCGGCCCGTCGATATTGGTTACTATGGTAACTGTACGTTTTCACAAAGATAATGTTAAAAAGTTTGAAGAGTTCACACGATAAGATGTTATAAAATAAAAATAAT